GTGCTGCCAAAAATGCGCAGCAGTTCACGCGTATCAAAAAGTTCCCTTTCGACCGTGCACTTTTCATGCAAAAGCAAGAGACAAGTGTGCGCCATCGTGCCTGCATCAGTAAACACAATTGTGAGAGTGCTTAAATTTATAGATACTAGATGAATTTTACAACAATTCACCTTTTACCTGAGCGTCTATTCACATGTGGTGTCCATGGTGCCATATGCACGCACTCTGTCTAAAGTGCACGACACGTCGATGACTGTACGTTGGCTCGCTAAAAATCTTTGTTGGCAAACAATCTAAATTGTTTCGTAGCTAATACAAACACAACCAACGCTTGCAAAATGAGAAAATTCGTGGCTGAGCAGCCTGAATCACTGGTGTTGAGCACTTTGCACAGTCGGTACCACGTTATGTCGTTTGATACGCCAATAATTTGTTTTGATCGAGGAGACAAGCTTTGTTTCGTAAAAGCCGAAGGAAACGGTATGGTTGCTATGCTGATGAACGACGACGCAGTGTAGTTTCTATGCTCTGTAACCAGGTGTCCATCCACTGAACAACTGAAAAAAACGTAGTGGCTCTTCCAACCCTATTCAGCAGCTGTAACAATGGTACAGAAGGGGTTGAGCTCTACGATGTAGCTGTGAATAACTGCAGAATTTTCATCCCTGAGAAAAAGTGCTACCAGCCCCTACTAACCCAGATGGTCGAAATGGCTGCTGACTGCGCGTACAAGGTCTGCTACAGCTCTGGACGTTTCAGCAAGCCCTCTGCGCATGGACATGGTGGCGATAATTAGTCTTTTAGTTGCATGATAGCAAGACACTGACAGAGCCTTGTTCTAACCAGCAGAAGTATCAAGAGATCTCGCGCATCCACTGTGCTTGCTGTTACCCTCTATCTATACTGATATTTTAATAAGAAGCTTGGAAAACCATCGAGGTTTGCCACACTATATTGAAATAGTGTTGCAAGAAGTGGGATGTTACGCTTCAATAGAGCGCTGGGGCTTCAGTAAGTGGCATGGGCAAGATCACAATGCAATAAATATGCAAGATCACTATGAAATCCAATCAGCATTTTAGTATAGGCCTTTATGAGTTAGTGTTCCTATTATAGCAATATGTGACCCTTGGTATGTGACCCTTGGTAGGCAATGCTTTTTTAGGGAACTCTGATAATACTTGCGGAGGATATTATGTTTGAGAGTGCGTTTGAGTATTTATTTATAAATGATGGTGGCAGGTTGGGCTGTGCTTCATGGGCTCTTTTAGATAGTGCTAATGTTTGTATATTACATACATGCTTCGTTGTAGACCTTGCTTTGAGCATCATGTGGGTGATTTGTTTCATGTAATGTTTTCTTTAGGTTGCTTGAGTGGCGAGCGTAGTCACCGCCGTTGCTACGGGTCCTACTTATATGCTTCGCCTTTCTGAGAATTATCAATTGCTTCCAGTGTTGCGTGTCATAACTATTTTAAATTAGGCACTGTTTTTTATCTATTGGTTTCTTGCATAGTGCTGACCTTGATATTCTTCTTACAATAAAAATTGTTGTGTTTAGGAAGTCAATTTCTCTGGATGAGTGATAGTACAGTATTGCCCATTTATAATGAACCCAATTACAGCGAAATAGTGGTTATAACCTAGTGATATTGATTTCTCATTCTAAATTCTGCATTTTTAATGCCTTTTAAGTCAATTTTTAACGAAGTATATAAGTCTTCCTCAGTGGATATAGCAAAGCATTTTTTCGAGAAAAATCATAAGCATGCCATCAAACATCCTTTGGAACTTTCACGTGAATCAAAACGGTCAAAAAAACCCTAAACCTTGGCTTTCGGCAGTCTCCCCCAGTATCATTTGCCCTTTTGCTTAGCTGTTTTCGGAGGCTTGCTTCACTGCATCACACGGTCACCCGTTCGCCATCGCCAAAACAAGCAAATGCTTCTTTTTTTTTTTTTGTCTAGTGCCAGGCTGGCCGACTACCAGGTAAAAGGTTGCTGGTATCTTATCTCGTCACACTGTGTACTACATCTCCTGGCTTGCATCACAAGAACGCTTTCCCATGCTTTGAGCCTTTGGGCCACCCATGGGGCTGCGCCAGCTCAATTGCACTTGTGATGCTACACTGTGGTGAAAAAGCAAAGTAGGTGCGCTCCTAAACTGCTGTTTTTCCACGGCGTGGCGCAACCAGTCATGCCTGCCTAAGCCTTGTCATGCTTGTTCGCGTGGTTGGCGTGGTTTGTGTGCGCACACAAAGCAGTGCAGTTTGAACAGCAGAAGCACTCGTACGCTTGTTTAATTCTGTTCACTGATGAAAAGCAGGTCATCGCAGCGCACTTGGACTTTACCGCGGTAACAGCTTGGCCTACCTTGTTCACCGATGAATTCTTCAGCATTATCGAGTCCAGCGAAACCTGAAACATCGACTTCATCCACAGCCAAAGGAAAAGGCACTCCCCCTCAATGTGAAACGTGCCATTTTGGATGAAGTCTGCCAGAAAATCAAGAAGACCAACATTGCACAGAAGTATGGCGTAGCCCAGTCCACTTTGGCAACCATCGTAAAGAATACCAGCAATACCGATGCTGTTTTGGACGATGACGTTAACAGCGGTGAGTAGAAGCAGATCCACTCTGCCACTTACGGCGGTGTTGAAGCAGCGCTCTACAAATGGTTGGTAAATGATCGCGCAAAGAACGTCCCTCTCAGTGGGCCAATCCTGCTCAGAACGTCCCTCTCAGTGGACTAAAAGTCTGGGGTTTGTTCTGGGCCATGAGAACTTTATTCCAGGCTTCGGATGGTCGCAGCAATTCAAGGACCCCCATAGCATTACGTACAAAACATTGTTGGTGAAGCTGCATCCGTTAACGAGGACGGTCTCCAGCTTTGGTTGGAAAACCACAGGTGCCGCATTCTTAACACATACGCCAAGAGGGATATCTACCACACTGATGAAACAGGGCTGTTCTTTGAGTTACTGCCAGCAAAAACCCTTGCAGCGAAGACTGATAAATGCTTGGGATAAAAAACTTGTGATAAAAAATGCTTGTGTGCGCGAACATGGATGGCACAGACAAGCGGCTCCTATTGGTCATTAGCAAGCATAAAAACCGCAGGGCTTTGCCAAGGTGCTGTCAATCCCATTAGTATACACGCACAACACCAAGGCATGGATGACGGACGTCGCTTGCTGGATTCCGTGCCGACCGGTTGTGCGCCCGCACGCTTGCGATCTTCGGCGTCAGCGTAGCTCTGACCGACTGGGCTCGCCCTACGTCACCTCCTGCCGCCGCCGACCTTCGACGACAGTGTAGCTCCGACTTACTGGACTTGCTCTACGCCATCTACCGACGCCGACAAGAGCTCTCGCAAGTGTGCCCCGTCCTCGGACTCCAGTAACCGTGCTTCCATCTTTTCTGTCTCTCCTATCCCCTCAGTTTGTTGTTGCTTCTTCTTCCTCTTTTCTACTCCTTTACTCCTACCCTTTTTATCCCTCCTCACCCCCATCCCTTGTGAGCTACTGTGGCAGTGTCGCTCACTGAAGCAGACAATAACGGGGCTCACTTTTCTCTTCCTTTCTTTCTCTTAAGAATCACTCACATGGATGACGGAGGACATATTTTGTAAGTGGCTCACTGACTTTGGCTAGACAAGGAAATAAGCTCGAATAAGTGCAAAATGCTGCTTCTGCTTGACATCTGCAGTGCACACCATGTCGGTGCACATCTAAGCGCTGTTGAGGTCCTTTTCCTGCCTCCCAACACAACCACCAAAATGCAGCCGGTAGACCAGGGAGTGATAGCAAACTTCAAAGTCTGCTATCGCCACCATGTCATCGAGCGTCTTCTCATCGACATACGAACAGCTGATAACTCGGGTGACTTGAAGGCGCCGCTGGTGAAGGCAATCTTTTTTGCAAGTAGAGCCTGGAGGGACGTGAAGTCTCGAATGATCCTTCATTGTTTCCAAAAAGCAGGTTTCGCGCGGAGAAACAGTGCTGCTGAAGAAGAAACAGCAGCAGCTGGTGCCACGGCAGTGACGAGCTTAGGGCAGCTTTGGGAGACCACTGTTAATGCAAGCCCTGTCCCAAGTGGGCTGGATTATATGGAGCTCGCCACCGACGAACTCGCCACTACTGTCTCGGAAAAGGAAAGAATCGCCAATAGCAGTTCCTCGGACCCCGAAGGTGACAACATTGCTGCACCTCAGCCAGTGACCTCTGGAGTAGCTCTCTCAGCTGTCGATGCACTGCATATGTATTTAAGTTCTAAACCGGATGATTGTGCTCTGATGGACAGTGTTTAGGCCAGGGTTAACGCGTACAGGGGACCCTCGACCACTTTTTCCAGAGGGTATAATTAAAATTTTCTGCTTGGTCTGCTTGATGGCTCAACTTTTTTTTAGAGTCTGGATATAGCGAAAAAGTGATTATAGTGAAGTAATGTCTGATTCCCACAAAGTTCGTTATAACTAGGCTACACTGTAGCTAGTAAATGCATTATTAGAGTGAAACTTGTTAAAATAGCCAATAATTGTGTTTAGTACACTTATGCCATGTTATTGTATAATAAATGTGTTCAAATAGCATAGATAGGGGCAAGGCTTTAGCTGACATGACTTCAAGAGCTTGGATTCTTTCATAAAAATGTTCGCATACGCTGGTCTACCAACCTACGCCAACAATTTTCATCTTCTGCGGAACTTCGGCCTGTTTTGATTCTTCAGCAATCTGTCTCTATATTTTTCAATAGGCAGTATATATAATTTCACCGCTGCAAAGATTTTTGGGAGGTGTGCTGACAAAAGAAACAACATGTATATAGAAAGCTTTGCTTATCTCGCGTGCATACTGCTGATTCTCTTTCATTATATATGAAACAGCTCAGTCTAGCACAGGGGCCGGTAGTTAAAAAGGATAGTTTTCTTGAAAAGACCACAGACAACAGCTAGCAGCTGGGATGTTGCTTTACCAATACCATTGCTCTTGTCCTCGCAGGCTTGTCGTGGTGACAGGTTGGATGAAGGCACTCCGGTGGTCTTGGAAACATCTGATTCACCAGGCCAAGTCTACCGCATCCCGACACATGCTGACTTTCTGGCTGCCTACTCAACAGTGCCAGGTCAGCACACCTGTAACAATGATGTTATCAAATAAGTGGCACTCTACTTGGTGATTATAATCCCAGGTAATTTTTTGCACCAGTGGCCTGTTGTGTATGCTACTATCACCAATGCAAGACTATTGCATTTTTGTATTGAGTACTCTATGAACATGTAGTGGTGCTCACCGCAACTGTTCGATAAATTTGTGGTTGATACTGACCGCAAGTGGCAACCGTGCAGCCATGTAGATGCTTGGTCAGCATGGTGTCATTTGCAATGTCATTTGAAAAAAAGAAAAAGTGAAGCAATTTTTTATCACCATATGACTTCTGCCTTTGGTGGGGGCCTCCATAATTTAGTTTCATTTGTAGTGTAGTACCACTGTTGCTCTTAGGGTCGCACAGTTATAGAACTCAAACTAAAAAGAGCTTTATGGCTTTCAAATAATACACTCTCATTTTGACCTGATGGCATGCCAGAATTATAAAGCTTTCTAAATTAACAAGATTTTGCTGCAGACATGTAGTATATGCATATCTGGCAGCTACCCTGGATTTTTCATAAGATTTTGACATTTGTTCTTCTTTTACATACTTGTGAATGCAAGTTGGAGTTCTGCGAATAATTTTTTTTGTAGATGAAAACGTTTTACTTGCTGATGTTCAATATTTTTTGGAGCTCACCTAAGAGGAGTACTTCCTTGAAAATTATATTGCCTTCATTCAGGCAAAAATCATAATGTAGTGCAAAAAAAGACACAATGGACACACAACCACATACCACAAGACACAATGAACACACACAACCACACACCACAAGACACAATGAACACACACAACCACATACCACAAGAACTTGCGGTGTGTGGTTTTGTGTGTTGTTGTGTCTTTTTTGCGCGAGATTATGATTTTCAGCAAGCACCAACTAGCTCAAGAACAAGTCCTTCTGCAGTATATTCAGACAAGTTCTATGAGTAAGACTAACAGTTGGTTGAGTTGGTATGGATGCGGAAAACGGTGTGACTGAGAATATGAAAAGACGCCATTTCTTGTTGCTGTTTTTGGTTCACGTTTGGCTATCAAGAAGACATGCCTTTGCAGAATAAAAGTGTGTCAAGACTGTCAGATGGAACAAAATGTTCGGGGTTCCCTCATCAAGTTTCAACTGGAGCATGTGAAAAGCTAATTCAAGCTATAAAACTGGGCAAGAGCAGGGAAACCAAAAGAGAACTTACTGAAAAAGAAAAAAATATTGACTGACTTGTGGTGTGACTGCCTATCACGCATTGCTGAGCACTGTGAGAAGTGTGGCTGTGCTCCCCATTTCAACCTAACAATTATAATTGCAAAGCATCATGACATGACAACTCAGGAGGTAATGAAGGCATGGCATAATCAAAACAAGGGAAATTTTTGTATCAGTTTTTCTTTGGTCGCTTTGTTACATAAAGTATTCTTGTATCCTGGCCGCTGTGATAGCTCAGTGGTTAGAGCATCGAACGCGTTATTCTTGTATCCTAATTACTTAATTTGTTGTTTTTATTTAATTTATTGTTTTTTGGTCGTTTTTTAATTGGCTTTGTTCGACCACTTTAGTGAATATGTTTATTCTGCACTGTCGAATGAAACTTTAGTCTTAAGTTGGCATTTAGGTTTATGTAGTAAAGCTTATGTAGTAAATTTCTGGATACCTCCACTACGGTATATTTAAGGGGGGAGGTGGCGATCGAAAAAAACTTTTTTGTTTGTTGAGCTAGAGTAATGAAATTTGGCAGGCATACTGAAGAGTGTCTCGTATAGCTATATTAGCTATATATGAAGTTTCATTGCGATATCTCGAGTAGTTTTCAAATTACACTATGTTACATAATCTGATGACATACTCTGCTGGTGAAAAGCCTAGCATTGTAACAAAACATGCCAGGAAGGTCCAAGTGGTTTTGATCTTTACTCAAAAGAACACTACACAGGATGACATTATCAACAATTGTCTATTCCTTTTAGTTTTTTTACAAATAACATCCCCATCAGTTTCATGTATTGCATCAGAACTTCTCATGCACTATTTAGCACATGCAAAAAAAACTAGGCCCTAAGCAAGGTGAAGAATAATGTCATCCTGTCATCAAGACTTCAAGGATTAAAAAAAAAAAACTGCATCAAAATCGGTCCAGTCACTGCCACGCTACACTTTTCACAAGCAACACTAAGTGCCCAAAACACACTTCAGAGAAAATAGCTTTCAAAGTTTTTGTAGCACTTCACTTTCATCAAAATGCACCAGAACAGTAGTCTTTGGTGTCCATGCCTGCAGGTGGCCTTTTGGTCCTCTGTTTCTTTATCTGGTGCATGTTTGATGATTTTTTAGCCCGCTGGCTGTCCTTTTCTGCAGCCCTCTGGAGGGCAACGGCCCCAGGTTTTACACCTAGTGCAGTGCGAATCTCGGTGTAAGCTCGCAAGCTGCCTGCATTGTGCTTTGCAACAGCTTCATGCACTGCTGCTTCCACAGTGAAGAGGGAGGCATGCTGCTGCTTGGATATCGGTGACAAAATCACTGAGTGGAGGCTCTCGGCAGCATTTTGAGTCTTGTTGCCACTACATCGAGCCAGCAGTTGAGGGTCGGAAAGGCGTTGGTAGATGGGCCGCAGTGCTTCTATAACCTTGCTAGGAAGGTTGTACTTGTGTGGAGGTGGTGACTTTCCTTCTGCTTCTGCTGAACGGTGCCTGCACCAGCTGAGGGCACGAGGAGGACACAGCTGATGATAGGGCTCGGCATCAGTGGATGAAATGTGGTGGAGTGTTGCCATCACCGCCCTTTGCATATCTTGCACATCTGTGTTGCTTCGCAGGGCTAGGCCATAATAGCTGGTGAGCCTCTTTATAAGATCTTGCGTAAGGCCACCTCTTCCACCAAGTGCCTCTCCCTTTTTTGCTTTGCTCACAAGAGAGCGGAGCGCAGTGCCCATTCTTTTCTGGACATGATTCACACAGTCCTCCTATGTGAGTGGTATGAATCCATATGTCTGATCATTGCACAGGGCTGTGTAGGTGCGGCTGTCTCCATCACAAATTACGTTTGTGTACCTGAGGTCGTTCTTGCTGATGGAGCGCCCAAAAAGCTGCAGTGCAGCTTCAACTTCCATGCGCCCTGCGCCTACATCGGTGTTTTTTTGGCACTCGTGAGCCTTCCTCCATTCTTCATATGTAGGGTGGCTTTCAGGTGGCCCTAGCGTACACCCAAGGCAGAAATTAGACAAGACTGTGCAGTCAATCACCAGACCCGTGTAAAATTCAATAACACAGCCTACACCAATGTGCGAGCTGTGCCCACGAGTTAGCCATGTGCCATCATACACCACTGTAATGTTTTTTGTGAAGTTCACTTCCATTTCTTCGTATGTGTTCTTGACGGCCTGTACAGCATCTGTCAAAACAGTTTGTGCAGCCACTTTGGCAGCTGGCTTTATCACATTCTTTAAGTGACGTTGATAAGTCTTCTGGTGCAGTCCTCTGTGCGACACATTCATCACTGCCCAGAAGTCATTTATAGCAGTAGGTCCTTTTCCAATGCACCTGATTGCCTGCACTGATCTAACATTTACATCGAAGACTCTCGCACCTTCTTTTCTCTCTGACGACCAGTGAGAGCTGGCTGTGCCGCAAGAACAACATATAAGCACCATTTTCACGGCAAGTCCAAGCCTTGTGTCCCGGTCCACAGCGAGGTCTTGCTCATGGCAAATTGGGCAGAGTGTTTTCCCAATCATCGCGTTCAGAGCGGTCATCTGCATAAGCACATATTCTTCTTCTGGCGCAGGCGTAGTTTCGCGTTCCTGAGACGCTGTCAGTGCGAATTTCCGCTCAGTTGCCGACATCGCGCCGAGCGACTCGCGAACTGTTGTCGACTGCGCCTCTGCCGTTTGCGCGGACAGAAAGCTTGGTTGAGTATGCCCTTGAATGGTACGACGCTCGCCGAGTAAAGTCTCGTTATCACTCCGTTGATTTACGGCGTCTGCCGACGCACCTGTCCTTTCCGCATCGATCGTTTCACCGTCATGTTCAACAGCCCGATCTCGGTTAGGCGAGCAGGCAGCCTCACGTTGACGCGTGATAACATCGATAAGCATGCCTTCAGTTGATGACTCTGACACGCACCTGCGTCGCACCACCTCTGCATTGTCCGCTGGGTTGCGATAACTTGTTGACGGCTGAGGATCCAGGGTGACTTCGTTATCCCCGACTGACTGCCGACTTGTTGGGCGTTTCCGCGAATGCCGTGGAATAGACGGTCGGCGCTTTCGTTTACCGAAAGCGAGCGCAGTCGCGCGTTTCCTGCGATCCATCGCCGCAAACCACATGCAAAGCTTTTAAAGAGCCTCCTCGTTGGTCGTGCGTCCGGCAACTTGCGACTGTTCAAGCAGAAGGCACGGGAGAACTCGACGATCGGGGGGCTGCGCAGAACTATCGTCTCGTGAAGACAGTTTGCACGACAGTGCCGAGGCCAATTGCAAAAGACGAAGAAGCACACGGAGAACGTTTGCAACGAACAAGTCGGAGCAGACAACAAGCCGCGCGGCCGGCGCGGCAGCCGCACCATGTGTGGGAGATGAGCACGTGAGCGCGCGCACCAGCCAATAGCAACCACTCGTTTCCTCTCGCTCCGAAGGAGCGTGCGCTCCGTCCAATTGTAGCTCCGCATTTGAAAAGCGGGAAACTCGAATACCCCGCGCGCTACCCAATCGCGAGCCAGTTACGCCTCGACCACGCCGTTGTTGTCACCGCTGATGGCGGGGAAAAAAAAAAAGCAAGAAATCACGAACAAAACGTGACCAAGATGGCGGCGCTCGGTTGAGCGGGGGAGAAACGGCGTGCGCGCGAAGTTAGGGTATTTTTGACGATCACGCGCTCCTCAGGTGCTGCCTCGGCTAGCTAAATATTTTATTTGAGGTACTTTTAGCGCGAATTTGGCGCTGATATTTACAGAGGAGGTGGTTTATAGATTATACTGACCAAATATA